GGGGTGTTTGGCGGCCTCAGCTCCGACCACCCCAACCAGCAGCTGCTGGGGGAGGAGGGCCTACCGGGTACCGGGGCGGGGCGGGGGGGGGAGGCGGAGCTGGAGTTCCTGCTCCAGCTGCCCCCCGACGAGCAGCTCAGGGCGCTCAAGAGGATGGCCAAGCGGCGGAAGAAGGAGGAGCAGGAGCGGCAGGTGGGGCGGGAGGGAGGGGAGGGAGGGGACGACCACCCGGGAGTGCGGTTGGGGCAGTCTGGGCGCGTGCCGTGTGTTAGCCCCCGCTGGAGCTCCCCCTTCTTCACACCGTCCCGCCGGGACCTCCTCCCTTTTTGGACACTTTGACTCTCTCGCCAAGGTGTTCCCCGACCTCACCGTAACCCCACCCGCCGAACCCCACCTCAACAGCTCCGTGAGGCCGAGGCGGTGCTCCGGGCGGCTGGGTACGACCTGTCCGCGGTGGCGGCGGGGGACGGCGGCGGCGGCGGCGGCGGGGGCGGCGGCAAGCACAGCACCAAGGACAAGAAGAAGAGGCGGTCCAAATCCAAGTCCACGTCCAGGAAGGAGGAAGGGGGAGACGAGCATAAAGAGGGGGACAGGGGGTCGCGGAAGGCTAAGAGGAAGAGGAGGAGGAGACGTGATTCAGATTCGGACTCCTCCTCCTCCCCCAGCTCCTCCCCCAGCTGATGGAGCGTGAGAGGTTATTCGTATACGCGATAGACGACTGCACGACATTTGGATGGGGGGTCAGGGGTATTAGTGTGTTAATGGTGGGGGCTGTCGGAGGGGGTTTCGGCGCTGCCGTACACAGCCACTGGACGGGGTTCGGCCAAGGTGGAGGTACCGAGGTTCTGAGGCACCCGGGTGGGATAGGAACGCTGGCGGCGTCGGGGGAGAAGGGGGGATATGATGGTAGCGGAGGTGTACGGCAGTGAGGTCAATGATGCCATAGCGGGGGGGGGAGGGTAAATTGCGATTGATCATGGAGGCATCTGTATTCGGACGGGTGGAGTGGTGGGGTGTTGGGGTGGGGGCACTTGTTACCCCCCCCCCCGCATGGAAAGAAAAGGCCTGAGGGACACCAGGGGTGCGGACGAGGGCCTGCGGTGCTGTTGTCGGTTGTTCTCGTTGTTTTCTGTTATTGGTGGTGGTGGTGGTGGTGGTGGTGGTGGGTTGAGGTAACGAAACTAGAAATGGGGGAATGGCCACCTCAGGGAGGTGTCGCGATGGGGGTGGGGGGTGTAGTGGTGGGGGTGGGGGTGGGGACTAATCAGCGGCCCTCAGGCCCTAAGCTCTCAGCACTCGTAGGACCACCACCACCCCCCAGCGGTACACCGCATCGCTGACACTACGAGCTCCGGGAGCAGCACCCCCGGGGAGGGGGGAGCGTGTATTGGGTGACATGGCCTTAGCGCAGTGGTGGTGGTGGGGGTGGTGTGTGGGAGGGCTGCACCTGGGCTGCACTGGCTGGCGGACCGCTGTACTGAATGTACGGACTGAGCGGCGGTGTATTCCTTCTACTCCGGGGCAACGAGCAGTGGAGGGGGCGATAGAGCCCCCTCCCCCGCCCCCTCCCCCGCCCCTTCCTTGGACCGACGTCGTCCACCTCCTGTCACTCACTGCTGCCACTGCTGATGATGATGTGCCATGTTGACTGTACTGTACGACGACCCTGGCGTGCAAAATGTGATGAAGGCGCCTTGGGCCTTACAGCCGCTCCGAAGACACGCCCAGGCGGCCATCTTCGCCGCCATCGCCGCCGCCAACACACAGCGCACAACAACCAACAAACAACCACGGCCAGAGTCAGCCACACCCTACGGTTTCAGTCCTGCTCTCCGTCGGGCGCTCAGGCCTGTCGGGCCCTGAGAGGGGGTGGGGGGGGAGAGGGGGAGGGGGAGGGCCCCAGCCGCCCCCGCCAGATGTGCCGCCCACTGCTACCACCCTGGGGCGGCAGGTGCTGTGGGTTGCCCGGATGTCATACATACACACAAATACACACACACAAATACACACACACACAAACATCACGCAACCCACCTAGCAGCCCAGCCCGTATGTCGATTATCCCCCCTCCCATACACACACATGACGACCGCCACATCACCGGAACTGGTGGCTGCTGGCTGGACTGCCGTGTTGTGCCGCAGGGGTGGGTAACGTAGTGACAAAGAGGTATGTGGCGGGCGACGTGGTGGCGGCAGTCGAACGTAGGGCCAGGCAGAGGGGGGTCCAGCTAGCTGCCCCGCCCGCCCTGGAACATTTCAACCCCCCGGTATGGATGTATGTATGTATGTGTGCGACGTGGCCGCCATGTAGCCTGAAAGGCGCTGTCACCGCTGTCCTACGTGCACCCTGCAGATGTGTGGCCCAGCCAGCCAGGCAGCCGGGCGGGCGGGCGGGTAGGCAGGAGGCGCCCGGGCGGCCCCCCGCAGCGAGGAGCCCGGGGGCGGCGGCCCGGGCCCTCCGCAACTCTTACATGGCTGGGTGTGCAAGTACTGAGGGCAGTAAGGTCCTCTACAAACACACCCGTCAGCACCCCCACCAGCACCACATCACGGCAGTGGACAGCGCCACTCCTCTAAGGTGGGGTCGGGTCGGGTCGGGTCGATCACCCCATCCGGGCCGGAGCTGCCGGTTCATCACCCACCCTACCACCACCAGAAGCCGCCGCCGCCTCTCCCTCTTCCTCTCCCTCTCCCTCTTCCTCCCCTGCCCCTGCCTGGAGGCCCATGGAGGCCCTCCCCTCCTCCGCCACTGGCACTGGTGATGAGGTATTTAGCCGACCAGCGCTACCAGCCCCTGCCACTTCCTCTTCCCTTCCGTCCGCCTTTGCCGAGATCGCCGCATCGCGACCACTATCAGCATCACCACCATCATCACCATGAAGAAGGGCGGCAGGCCCAAGCACCTCCCGCTCCAGCTCCTGTGCCAGGGGGTCGTGCGACGAACAACTTCTCACTTCTCACGTGAGCCAGGGCTTAACTTAACCTTGCCCGCTGACATGCCCGGTGGGTCCCCCACTCCCCGCCAAAGCTGGCTTGAGCTGGGTTTCGAAGCTACACCCACCCACGCGCCGGATTTCCCAGTGTTCTGTAGACAGCCGCAAAATATTTACCGCAGAAGGCTGTCCTTTGCACAACGTCTGGCACTGACACAATATCCGTGCAATCCGGCGTCAGGCTAACCTCCCACCTGCAGCTCGCCCTCCAGCTCCGCTAGCTCCTCGGGGTCTAGTGCATCCAGGTCTAAATCGTCGTCTTGACCTGCTACCCCGCCGTTATTTTCGTCGTCCAGGGGCTCGCCGTCTAGCGCAGCTAACTGCTGCTCCAAACGAAGCTCATCGGCTAGCAAATCGACTCCCGCCGTCAGCTTTAGAGCATTTTCATGCGCAGCCCTCAGCTCCGCTTCGAGAGTGCTGTCATCGATGCCCGTGCCCGGCTGCTGCCCAAGTAGGGATGCACCTGAGACGTTTCCTTTCGACACCGCTCTGGCCTTTGCCTTGGAAAGCGTAGGCAGCTTGTTCCCCATATGCTATGTAGAAACACAGGGCGATTCAAGTTCGGCTTTGCTTGTGGCAACAACCCTGGCTCAAGGAGTACAGGTACAAGTGGCGTCTCGTGACAATTATGTGCGCTGGGTAACACATCACTTGCTTAGAGTGCACTTCCATGCAGATCGTATGTTCAAATCGTATGCAACTCGCCCGTAGCTATGAATCACGACAGCCCGGATCGCAAACGCCGACGTCGATGTGTTAAAAAAGTATAAAGAGATTTGTACTATTCGCATTGCCTAATCTGCTTCCTAAGTACCTCCTGTCTGCACCCTAGCTAGGCCGTTAATCAGTTGAAGAGGGCTTCTTAATGCCCAGATTGCTCTATTAATGCAAAGTCCGTCTGCATTATGGCTTACTACTCTAAAACGTCAGTCCACGTCTCGTCTTGACTTTTGTTTACTCAATCATATATAAAAAGTTAGGACGTGGGACTGAACAATTACCAGCGACCCGCTTATACAGAAGCCCTCAACGCCCCGCCGCTGCCCCGTTGTATGTGTATATGAGGTCATTAAAGAACGGCCGTGGACCTGCCTAGGGAAATTGCAGTCAGGTTATCTGCTTCTAGCCACGCTTCCTGCAAACTTGCAAACCCACGGCAGAGTACACAGCTGCAAGCGATCGCGGCTCTACCGCGGACCTCACGTCGGCCGACAACTCACGCCGAATCCTGGCCCTGGCCGCATGGAGGACCATCAGTCCGCGCCATAAAGCGCTGCGCGTTAGTGGGGGGGAAGTGCTGAAGTGGCCGCCTCTGACTTTGTGGCCTTTCGGCAGATTTGCGGCCTGTCCGGCGCCTACCGTGTTCCAGCACCGCTTTTCCCACCCACCTAAATTAGGAGGGTGGGAGTTAATGCGTGTCTGAAGCACCGACCGCCTCTTCAGCAGCGAGGCCCGGCTAAGCGTTGTTTTCTGGTGCCCGACAGCTGGACGGCTGTGGAAGTGCGCAAGCCGGCATGGCTGTGAAGACCCGCTGCCGCCAGCAGGGTCTGTGAGCAGTGGCTAAAGAGCGGGCAGCTGGGGAGTTGCTGGGCGATGCGGGGACTGGCGCTTCTCTGGCAGCGGCAGCATGCGAACCAAGTGGCAGTTTCAAAGATTTGCTTTGGTGACGATGTGTGGCGTTTATCTTGGGTTGTTGGTGGCAAGAGCGGATAAAGATATCTAACAGCAAATCATCGTCCACCAGCACGGCCCAAGCAGGACAGCTGTAACAACAAGCATTGATTTTACAATTTGATTGTTACGAAATTATCGACGGTGCAAGGACTTGGTCAAGGAGGAAGGGAGCGACAGACAGCCGCAACACCGTCCGCGAAGCATGACAATAATTAATTGCGGGAACGTGTATATAGAACGCAAGCGATGTTGAAAATCATATCCAAGCTATCTCTGTATGCAGAGAGGTTCTGGAAGTCATCACGGCATGACCAATCCAACAATCCAATCGCGATACTCTGAAGCTTAACACTCATCAATATCATTTTATCAGTATCATCTTCTTTTGAAATTACATCAAAGCATGCATCCCAAGTTGAGGATTTGTGAGCGCTCCTAATACGCGAACCATTCTGGCGACGGCATGCGGTTACAAACTCTCTCCCGCAGCCTCTTGCGACTAGATAAGCGATACGATTCCTACTTTGCGCGCTGTGCTTTACGTGAATTGCAATGGGCTCAATACTCAACCAACGATTTTGACTCGTCGGGAGGATCTGGACTCTTAGGCAAGATTTGGAGGTGCGCAAAGGCTGCATCGATATGGGTCGCTTTGTTCAATGCAATTTTGGATGGCAAGGGCCCCCGGGCGCATAGCTTTGCGTGTCTTGAACGCTGCCACGTGGCGTGTCGATAACCACAGGGCCGGGCTGGGCGGCAAGCAAAAGGAGGGAGCGGAATCTGGGAGCAGCGGCAGTAGCGGCAGCAGTGGCAGCAGCAACAAGGGGGGCTCAGGCGGCGCGAAGGGGTCCTCCGAAGATGCGCTGGTGCCCTCCGGCCCCGAGCGCAAGCACCACAAGGTGTTCGTGGTGGAGCTGTCCCGCAAGCCCCTGTTCCCTGGCATCTACACCCCGGTGATGATCAGTAAGAATGAGGCGCTCGTGAGGGAGGTCATGGAGGTCAAGAAACAGGGGTGAGTTCGGGGGGCGGACCGGATATAGAGGTGAGGGGGGGAGGGGGCGGACCGGATAGAGGGGAGGGGAGGAGGGGGCGGACCGGATAGAGGGGAGGGGAGGAGGGGCCGGACCGGATAGAGGGGAGGGGAGGAGGGGCCGGACCGGATAGAGGGGAGGGGAGGAGGGGGAGGGGAGGAGGGGGACATGTACCGGGCGGGCAACCGGGCGGGGGAGTGGAAGTAGGTGGGGCCGCTTGGAAGTCCGGCCGGGGTCAGTGCCCTACGCCGCGATTGTACGTCGTGGATTTGGGTGTGCAAGCCGAGCAGCCCGGCTTCCGCTGGGGGCCGGGGCACCTAACCAACCCCCCGCACACACATATTCTTCTCTGGATTGTCCGTCCGCCTGTCTCGGGTATCTGCTTCAATCGTCAGAGGTTCGTCTTTCCCACCCACACAATTTTCCGACCTCCTCTCTAACACAGACACACACACATACACACACACACACACACAACCCGCACCCCTCTTGCGTATTATTACAACCCCATGTATGTATGAACGTGTGTGTGGGGGGCGGGGCTTGGGTGGGTCTGAGGGGTTTCTGCTCCCGGTACCCTACCCCACATAGCCCCGGGGGCAAGAGGCCTTCGGTTTCCCTGTCTGTCTGTCTGTCTCCCTGTCTGTCTACCGCTGCAGAACCGCTCAACCGAACGGGCCCACGTTACAACCCCCCCTCCAGCACTGACCACCTCTTGCGCAGCCACCACCCCAACCAACAACCAACAACCCGCTATCGCCTCGGGGAATGGAGTGCTTCGACTGCGGGGCCTCCCACCACACCCCGTACGCCGTACGAGCTGCAGCTCACCCTATATAGCTTACATCTCGGCTCCCTCCTAATGGCCACTGCGCAGTGCACCCCCCCCCCGCGGTCCGCGCCTTCCCCCCCTCTACCCCCCCCCGTCTACGTCTGGTACACTCTTGCCCTGGCAGCAGCTTCACTCGTTCACGTGGTTCGTCTCCCCCACCCACCCCCCCAACCCCCCCAACCCCCTAATAAACCCCCTCAGGGCACACGCCTACGTGGGAGCTTTCCTCCGGAAGCCCCCCTCAGACAGCAACCCCCAACCCCAACCCCACCCGGAGGAGGGGGGAAATGCAGCATCCCATCTGTACGACATCGGGACCTTCGCGCAGGTAGTACGGCCTTACTATTACGTACCCGACCGTGTAACATTTCCCCCATAGGGCCCTCTCCCCCCTCCCCTCTCCTCTGAAATCCTCTCACCCCTCCCCTCTCCCCCCAGGTTCACACGGTATTGGCGGGTGACGGGGCGGACTCCGCCCAGCTGCTGCTGCTGGGACACCGCCGAATACGGAAGACCGCGGTGGTACGTGCTGCCGGGAAGGGGAGGGAGGTGGGGGGGCTGAGCCCCCGCTTGAGCGGGGGTTAGGGCGGGTATAGGTAGGGATGTAGGGTTGAAAAGGGGGGAGAGGGGGAGCCCTGGTCATGGTTTCGGAGGAAGGGAGTCGAAGGTTGTTTTCCCCCTCCTTGCGCGCAGTGTGTGTACGTGTGTGTACGTGTGCCGCTGTGGGGGGAACCGGGTGTATGGGGGGAGAAAGGCAAAGAGGAGGCGAGCCTACCACCTCACCTGAAGCCCGCCTGTCCCTGCAATTGTACCCTGCCGTACACTTGCAAATTTTACATGTCGTATGCAAACACTTCACTCCCCTCCGAACACCCCCCCGTCATCCCCGTATCACGTTACAGATATCCCCTGAGCCCCTCAGAGTTCACATTGACCACTTGAGGGACGAGAGCTATACAAGCGATGATATACTCAAGGTAAGGTACGGCATAGTACGGCGCAGTACGGTACACGCCGTGGTGGTCCGTCGGCCATGGGCCTGTCAGCTGTCTGTCCCCCGGGGGCCACGTTGCACACGCGCAGTGTCAGTTATCGTGTTATTATCTCCTGCAGCAGCCGCAGCCGCAGCCGCTGCACCCCCCCAACCACCTCGCAACCGCGATACCCTCTTGCAGAGGACGCACTCAGCGTGTGTGTATGTGTGCGTGTGTGTATGTGTGCGTGTGTGTATGTGTGCGTGTGTGTGGCGCGGACTCTGCTTTCCCCCCCTTCACACACACACGCACACATCTGCAACTACCCCGCCCACTACCACACACACACACTTCAGGCCACAAGTATGGAGATCGTCAACACGATGCGGGACCTGCTGCAGCTCAACCCCCTGTACGGCGAACAGTTCCGTACATTGCTGTCTCTAAGTAGGTGGGGGGGACTATATGCGAGGGGGGAGAGGAGGCGCCAGGGGTGGTGGTGGCGGGGGCGGGGGGGGGACGATAGGGGCCCTCAACCCACGGTGACTGAAGCGGTGACCTGGCAGATACACATACATACACACATACACACATACACACATCCCTGACCTGATCCCCTGCCGGGGTAGGGGGAGCGGGGACTCCCTCCTCGCCTTCACCACAGTACCTGTCTAGCGACACCTGGTGGCTGTACGGACAGCAGCAGCATCACGAACACGAACACACTCGGGCCTCAACTGGTCGTTGGTAGTACCCGATCTTGAACGGGGCCCCTCCCCCCTCTCCCTCCCCCTCCCCCCTTCCCCCCTTAGCTGGCAGTATCGACCTGCAGGATATGTCCCGACTGGTGGACGCCGCCGCCTCCCTCACTAGTGCGGATGACGTCACCCTGCAGGGGGTGCTGGAACAGCTGAATGTGCCGGAGAGGTGGGGCGGGGGGGAGGGGGGGTACGGGGGGAAAAGGGGGGAGGGGGGGTACGGGGGGAAAAGGGGGGAGGGAAGGGTGTTTCGGAGCGGCAGCTCGGGACTTTAGGATGGGAGGAGGGTTGGGTTGACAGTTTGGGGGCTAGGGTGGGGTGGTGTATGGTGGCAGTGGTGGCTTCATGTTGTTGTTGGAGCTGCCAGATTGGAATGCGGGTAACGGGGGAGGGCAAGGTGGGGGGGGGCGGAGGGGGAGCGGGAGAAGGGGAGAGCAAGCAATTGGGCAATACGGCAGTACAGTGTTTGTTGTGAGCGGGGTTCGAACCCCACTCCCCCTGATGCGACTGCGCCACCGGGTTTGTGCTCCTGTCACCTCCTCCCTCCCCCTTCCCGCTGTGTTTCTTGCATCCATGCCCGCCCTGGGCCCTATGACCCCGCCGGACCCCCCCCTCGTAGGGCCCGTATGGTCCTCAACCTGCTGAAGAAGGAGGTGGAGCTGTGCAAGCTGCAAGCGGATATCCGGGAGCAGGTGGGGAGTTGAGGGGGGGGGCTGAGGGGGGCTGAGGGGGAGACCCTCCCTGCCCCCGCTGTCGTATCCCCTACATCCCTTTCCCCTCCTAATTATCCCGGGGGCCCCCACCGCTTGGCCATTTACGCTCCCGCTCCCGCTCCCGCTCCCTGGCCGCCGGCCCCGAGCACAGAACCAACCCCTCCCTCCCCCTTTCGGTCAGTTCTACGTTTGATACTCTCTTGCCCTGGCAGCAGCTTCAATCGTGTGTGGTTCGTCTTTCCCCCCCTTTCCACCCCCCTCCCCCCTTTTTCAGGTTGAGGGCAAGATCGCCAAGGAGCAGCGGCGCATGTTGCTGATGGAGCAGCTCAAGTCCATAAAGAAGGAACTGGGCCTGGAGCGGGACGACAAGAGCGCACTGCTGCAAAGGTGGGGGGGGAGGGAGGGGAGAAGCGGGAGCGGGAGGGGGGGGGGCTACTTCGTGTGGCTTAGCTTCCGGAAGTGGGGGCGGGGCCGCTTGCGTCATCACTTTGCGCGTGTCGGCCTTCAGCGGATCCTATTGTCCCCTGCTGCTACTGCTACTGCTGCTGCTACTGCTACTGCTACTGCTACTGCTGCGATGTGGGACTCACACCCCCCGGCCCTGTGACCTCATACTCATACAGGTTCCAGGCCCGCTGGGATGAAAAGAAGGCGGCCGCACCCCCCGATGTGGCCAAGACGGTGAAGGTGTGTTTATGTATGTACGTATATATGTATGTATGTGGGGGGGAAGGGAATGTGCTTGTGGCGGGAGTGGGGGCGGGAGTGGGAGGAAAATCACGACCTTGCCTCATGCGCTCATCGTACACAGCACGTGCCGGCATGAAACCCAAATCGACGAGCCCCCCCCGCCTGACGACTGCCCGCACCACAACACTACACAACACAAGACGGCGCCCATCTCCCCGTCTTCCCCGCGCCGCCACACAAAACACACCCATCCCCCCCCACACAAACACATCCCCCCACACACGCACACACCCATCCCCCCCCCGTCCAGGAGGAGCTCGACAAGCTGGGTGGGCTGGAGCCCGTGTCTCCGGAGTTCAACATCACCCGGACCTACCTGGACTGGCTCACCTCCCTGCCCTGGGGTACGACAACCCAGGAGGTGTTTGACCTGACGCGTGCGAAGCAGGTGTGTGCGTGTGTGTGTGTATGGGGTGCGGGGGAGACTGAATGGGGTTGGGGGGGTTTACATGCCGGTGTGTCTTAGGGGGGAAGGGGGAATTATCTAGCAGTGGGGTGGGGGATGGAGGCAGCGAGTGTATGTGTGTATGTGCTTTTGGGTGCTGCACCGCACTGTACCGCACTGTACCGCGCACTGATGTAACCACATGCAATCACCAAGGCCCTGATGAGACGAAACAGTACGACAGCCAAACCCTTGACGGGTACCTCCCGACCCCGACCCCTACTCCGGGGGGGTTGAAACTGTTGAGGCCCCCTCCCCCCCCCCCGCGTCCCCCAAACCAAACCCCCGGGCCCCCTCTCCCGTTCCGTGATTAAATGGCCGCATCCGGAATGCCCCCCAATTCCCCCACTTCCGGGACCCCGGCCAGCGCGGGCGGTCGGTTGGGATTGGTTTAGACCGTTGTCGGCAGTTGGCATCCTTTTGTATCTCACGCCCTCCCCCCGGTCCGGCCCCCTCGTCGGTTGGCTAGCCGGACTAGGATAGTTGGGTCGGTCGGGTCGGGGGCGTGTTTGGGGGGTTGGGAGAAGCACTTGCATGTCAACGGCGTTTTATTACCAGCTTATCAGCCTCTCAGTATTGGTCCAGCCTCTTCAGTGCCAACCCCAGGCCGGCGGCCCACGTTATTCCAGCTAACGCCACCCCGTTCTCTCCTCACGTCAGTTTTTAATACTCTTTCGCCGCCTTTACGTCTACCTTTACTGTTTCACGGCTTGGCTCTACTGCTATTTTTCCGCGCTTATTTTAGTCTTGGCGGCTAGGTAGGTAGGTAGGTAGGTAGGTAGGTTTCCGCGGTCGTCACCACATCGCTGTCGCAATGACGGCTTCTTCACAACCGTCGACTGGTCAGTTATGCTTTCTTCACATCTGCCGCCGCAGCAGTCTCTTTCCCGGTTCGTCCTCCCCCCCTTCCGGCCCATCCACCCTCCTTGGCCCTTAGCAAACCCTCCCCTCCCTTCCCCTCCCTTCCTGCACCCCCTCCCCCCCTCCCCTCCTCCTCCTCCTCCTCCTCCCCGCCGCCCCCCCCGGGTGCTTGCAGGTGCTGGATGACGAGCACTTCGGTCTGGACGACGTCAAGGACCGCATCCTGGAGTTCATCGCGGTGTCGCACCTGAGGGGCAGCGCGCAGGGGAAGATCCTGTGCTTGGTGGGAGGGGCCCGGGGTGGGCTGGGCTGGGGTCGGGGGAGAGGGTTTTATTGGGTCCCCCGGGGGAAGGCGGGGGTTAGTGTTCCCCAACCTGAGGGGGGGTGTACATCGCGTACGGGAAGGAGTTCGTCAGGGAATCCATCGTTCAGTCGGTTGGGGTCGCGTTGTCAATGGGGGTATGGGTTCTGTAACTGGTCGGTCAGTGTTTTTCTCTCCCACACGCGGCCGCCTGTTTTCTCTCTCACCCGGGGTTGGGGTTTAACAATCCCCCCCTCCCCCTCCCCCTCCCCCCTCTCCCCCCCCCCGGCGCCCCCAGGTGGGGCCCCCCGGTGTGGGTAAGACCAGCATCGGTCGCTCCATCGCCACCGCCCTCAACCGGGAGTACTACCGCTTCTCTGTGGGGGGGTTGCATGACGTGGCAGAGATAAAGGGCCACAGGTGGGGGTGGGGGGGGTTGGGTAAAGGTGTAACTGTGTGTATATGTGTGTATTAGAGGGCACGTGCCGGTCTGGGGGTATTTGTTGTATTTGTTGTATTCTGTGTTTCAACCCCCCCTCTCCCTCCCCCCTCCCCCCTCCCCCCTCCAGCAGCTTCACTCGTTCGTGGTTCGTCTTCCCCCCCTTCCCCCTCCCCCCTCACAGGCGCACGTATGTGGGCGCGATGCCCGGCAAGCTGGTCCAATGTCTCAAGTCCACGGGCAGCTCCAACCCGCTGGTGTTGATCGACGAGGTGGACAAGCTGGGTCGCGGGCACGCGGGGGACCCCGCCAGCGCCCTACTGGAGCTGCTGGACCCGGAGCAGAACGCGGCGTTCCTGGACCACTACCTGGACCTGCCCCTGGACCTGTCCAAGGTGTGTATGTGTGTGTGGGGGGGAAGGGGGGAGAGGGGGGAGAGGGGCCGGATCGAGCTCCCCGGTGGCGGATTGGGCCCCCACCGGTACCTGGTGTTGGGGAAGGGTCGTCCTTTGGGGGGGAGGGGGGAAGGGATATGTATCTGGGAAGAGATATGTATGTATGTATGTGCGTGTGGTTGCCCGAAGAAGTTGCCGTTCTCGACAGTACATGTCTGTCGATGTCACCCCACCCCACCCCACCCCACCCCCACCGGTCAGCATCCAGGTCGCGTGAATCCCCGGACACCTCTTAACCCCCAACACCCCAACCCTCGGTGTGTGCCCCAGGTTCTGTTCGTGTGTACGGCGAACACACTTGACACCATCCCCGGTCCCCTCCTGGACCGAATGGAAGTCATTAGGTTGTCGGGATATGCGCAAGGTAGGGGGCGGATGGGGCGGGGAGGACGGGAATGTACTACAAAAAGACCTTGACGTCGGGGGTTTCGGGGGCTGTTGGGCCGGGGGGCGGGTGGGGCGACGTGGGGGTGTGAAGGGGGAGTTAGTCCAGGGGGGTTGTGGGGATGACCACTCGGCCAGGGGGGTAAGGTTGGGTTTTGTGGAGCTGCCGTACAACCTTAAGACCCAGCGGGAGAAGAAGTACTAGCTGGGTTTATAGGCCACCCAGCTACCCATGCTTTCGCCTTCTCGTCCAAACCCCCAACCTCTAACCAACCGGCCTGAACTAACAAACCTCTCAAGCCCAACCAGCCAACCAATCGTATAACCCTCCCCGAATGTGTGTACGACACCTCCAGATGAGAAGCGCTCCATCGCCCGGCGGTACTTAGAACCGGCAGCGGCGGCCGACGCGGGAGTGCCTCGCGGGTCCGTGTCGCTGTCGGATGAGGCGCTGGAGGGCCTTATCTCCGAGTACTGCAGGGAGGCGGGTGTACGGAACCTGAAAAAACACATCGACAAGGTGTACCGCAAGGTGGCGCTGCAGCTGGTCCGCGCGGGGGCTAGGCCGGTCAAGGAAGGGGATGGGGAGCAGCAGCAGCAGCAGCAGCAGGCGGAAGCTGGCAGTAGCAGCAGTGGCAGCAGTGGAAGTGACCCCCCGGACCCGTCCGCCGCTCCTTCGTCTCCCCCGCCTTCCACCTCGCTCCCGGTGAACACTTCTTCAACATCCACTACAAGCAAAGGGAAGACGGGCGCCAAGCCTCCTGCCGTACGAGTGCTGTACGACGGTCCCCCTATTATTGTAACCCGGGACCAGCTCAAGGAGTATGTGGGTCAGGCCCCCTTCGCGAAAGACAAGTTCTATGAAACCACCCCGCCGGGTGGGTGGGGGTGGGGGTGAGGGTGAGGGGGCAGTGAGGGGTGCTGGGAAAGGGGAGGTATGAAAAGGGGAGAGGGCTTGTGGGTGGGGGAGAGGGCGGTTTAGGTCTGCCGTACCTTGCGTCCCATCTGGCCTCATCTGGTCCACTGCTTCTCCCCTCCCTCCTCCTCCCCTTTTCCCCCTGCCGTACACATTTTGGCAGTTGGTTTCATCCTCGTGCGGGTTTTCTCCCCCCTCCCACCCACCCGCGCACTCCGCTTCCATGTCCCCACATTACCTCCCCCCTACCCCCCCTCCCCTTCCCCCCCCAAAGGTGTGGTTATGGGCCTCGCCTGGACGCCCCTCGGCGGCGCCACCCTGTACGTGGAGGCGGCCCGGGTGGCGGGGAGCGAGGCCAAGGGCGCCCTCACCACCACCGGGCAGCTGGGGGACGTCTTTCGGGAGTCCGCCACCATCGCCCACACCTTCGCGCGCAACTTCCTATCCGCGCGAGACCCCGCCACCGCCCACTCCTTCTTCGGCGGCTCGGCCCTGCACGTGCACGTGCCCGCCGGCGCCACCCCCAAGGACGGCCCCTCGGCGGGCTGCACGCTGGTGACGGCGCTGCTGTCCCTGGCCCTCAACCGGCCCGTGCGGCCCGACCTGGCGATGACGGGGGAGGTGACCCTGACGGGCTGTGTGCTGCCCATCGGCGGGGTGAAGGAGAAGGTGCTCGCCGCCCGCCGTAGCGGTGTCCGGGTGGTGGTGTTCCCGGAGGGCAACAGACCGGAGTACGAGGACCTGCCGCAGGAGCTTAGACAGGTAAGGAGGTTGGAGGTGTATGTGGGGGTGGGGGTGGGGGAGGGCTGGAGGGGGAAGGAAGGGGGAGGGTGCTCGCGTATCAAGGAATAAAACACAACAGGTCGTTTGCTACTCATGTGGGACGTGAGTACGATTTTGGGGGCGAGGAAGGAGGGGAGGGGCGAGGGGAAAGTTGTATAACGGTGGTCGTTCTGAATGGCGGCATGTCGCCGTACTCTTATCCCTTCCCTGGTTGGGGTGGGATGGGGGGTGATGGGGTTTGTCCCCCCGTGACCGTCTTTTCCCTCCCCTTCCCCCCCCCCGGGCCGTGTCGGTTGGACCGCATCGTGGGTTATGACCGGGCTGTCAGACCCAATCGTTCACGCGCGACAGATAGACATACAGATAGACATACAGATAGACATACACGCCACTCGGTGCTACGGAGAAAAGGGCCAAAGCCAAGACAACTCCCCCGGCTCCCGCATCCCGCACCCCTCACCCTCAACCCCCAACCCGCAACCCCCCTCCCCGGCGGCCCCCCGGCCCTGCTCAGGGCTTGGAGCCGCACTTCGTGAGCTCGTACGGGCAGGTGTACGAACTGGCCCTGGGCGGCCAGGACCCCACCAGCCCGCCAGCGAAACAGGGCGAGCAGGTGCAGCAGCCGGAGCAATAGGCGGTGGCGGCGGTAGACCGCGGGTGCTCCAGGGGGGGGTGGCTCTGGGGCGTGAGGGGGAAGCACCCCTTGGCCTGGGGCCCCAGCTGCTGTTCCGGGACACTCAGCTGAACTGGGCTAGTGGGGGAGGTGGTAGGTGTAGAGGTGGAGGTGGAGGTGGTGAGAGGTGGTGGTGAGAGGTGGAGGTGGAGGTGGTGGAGGTGGAGGTGGAGGTGGGTGGTGAGAGGTGAAGGTGGTGAGAGGTGAAGGCGGTGACTGCAGAGGCTCCGAGGAGCTGTCCTCCTCCCGGGGGCCTAACCCGGGAGGGGGTGGGGTGGGCGGGGAGGAGGGGGAAGACGAACCACGTGAACGAGTGAAGCTGCTGCCAGGGCAAGAGTGTACCAGAAGTAGAACTGACCGGAGAGGAGGGGGGAGGAGAGAGGGGGGAAAATTGGTTCCGATGGCTAAACCATCTGTGGAGTGGTTTGGAAAGGGGGCCTTTTTGTGGTCGGAGTTGGGGACTCGCAAGGCGTGAGTACAGGAACGATGTAGGCGGCCAGGCGACGTGCCACAATGATTGGAAGTCCTGGGAAGGCCGGCGGCGGCGGCGGCGCGGACGCGCTAATGTAATGTGGGATTTACACGTCACCTAGAGTTTCGCGCGACTGGATTGGGAGGTGGATTTCCAACGGGGTCTGCAAAGGTCTTGTGGGTAGTTGCACTTGGGACGAGAGGTGGATGGGAGGGGGTGAGTGGTGGAGACACATGCGCCCGCATTGGTACGGCAAAGCAGCGCACCGCCCCGACCACATGGGCAGTACTGACCCGCCAAATGTAAACGTGTAAACGGCAAAGCCGAGAATCCTCTGGATAAGGCGTACGACAATGGCACATCTCTCTCGTGCACAATCGGACGAGCGCTGCCGTACATCTATGTACAACCCTAATCAGTGCCGGCGGGGCGCCGAACAGCCTTTGCTGGTTGCCATGTAGTGGTGTCGTACCTTACCTGAAATTCCCCGCGGTGGCTCGTGTCATTATTGTTACCTGATCCCGCACTATACACACACACACACACACACACACGCACGCACGTAGTTCCCCTCGCATCCAAGGCGGCCACTTCCCCCTTACCCCCCACACCCAAGGGGGGGGCAAGAGGAGCTGTCCCCCTCCCCTTCACCCCGGGTGGACTAGACCACCAACCAAAAACCAACCAACCGACCAACCAACCGAACAGGACTCCCTCCGTCGGGACGCAGCACAGCTACTGCCGCCACTGCCCTCACCTTCACCCCGACCAGCTGCATGGACAGCGTGAGGAGCAGTACAGCGGCCAACTGAAATGGTCGTCACTGATGTGGCTGCAGTCCCCCGCAACCCCAACGAGGTCACAGCAGAGCCCCCCACAAATCCACCACCACCCATCCGCCTCCACCTATCCACACCCGGGTCAAAGAAACGCCTCCGCCGCTGCTGCCCTGTCACTCACCCCCCTTCGTACACCCCACCCCCCCAACCCCCCCAACCCCAGCAGCTACTCTCGATGTAAGTATGTTCCCCGCCAGGTGGGACGAACCACACCCCCAACCACCCCACCCTCCTTATTTCGCCAATTTATCACCACCACATCACACAATATCATCCTCACACTATTACTTGATGTACCGCTGCAAGAAGCAGAGGAGGCGACTTCCAGAGGAGGCGGCAAAGGGCACAGCAAAAAGGGGTGAAGCTGGTTTCACCTCTCGGTAGAAGATCCTGCCGCCGGGCGAACCCCTGTCGGATGCGAAAAGGCGCGCTCGGATTTCCGTCCTCTGTCGTGTTTTTCTCCGTTCGAAACCCCAAAGCACCAACTGCAAACCGTCAATTTCATCCAAATCTAAATCCAAATCCAAAACCGGATTCAATTGGGATCCATAAAAATAGAATCCAATAGAAAAAATGGAAAAAAATTAAAGGAAAGGATCCGGACCTCATTATCGCATTTGCCGGTGTGTCTCCACCGCCGCCCGCCTGCAGGCCCTGACCGACCTAGCGGACGGCGGTCTGACCACTTTCGAGGTGAGCGGCGCCGGCTGGCCGTACTGCTCTCTTAGGTCGCTGTTCGGCGAGCTGCCCTCGGCTGCGCCATAAGACGTCGTACGCAGTTTAGAGAGCATCGCTGCAACAGGACGTAATAAAATTTCTTTCCTAGCTTTACTATCCCGGAGGCACTGGTTGAGACTGAGCATATGCTACTATGCTGCTGAGATGAACTGGGCTGCGGAGGTGAGGGGCCGTTCTTCCGGGGGACGGGGGGAGCGGGCGGGGTGCGGGCAAAGGTTACAGGTTGGGTCGGGATGGAATGTAAACTGACAAAGCGAAAAGACATTACTATAACCCGTAAAAGCTGCAAAAGCCCAAACGGAGCAGAAGCGAAGACACAATGCAGCAGCAGCAGCAGCAGCAGCAAAACATGGAATCCACGAGGGGATCCTTCCCCCCCTTGCAAATGTGTTTTCGCAGGTCAATCAGCTCATTCCGGTGATCATAGCAGATACAGCCGAACAACCCCCTCACTTAATGGAGGCAGCAACGAGCCGACAACCCACTTCAAACGCCCATTTGCGCCAATTATCAACTGCCAACTGTCAACTGTCAACCGTCAACCAGACATCCTGCATCCGGGAGTCTCCACGTGGACGTTTGTTAACTACCCCCACTAAAGTTATTGGCGCGCTAACAATGCCTAACAAAGTACTGTCTCCACTAGCAGCCCCGAAACCATATTTTTACCGTCTTTTGACTCCATTTCGCTCCTGCTTGAGCAAAATTTTTTTGAACATTAAAGAGAAATGAGGACGGCAGTTGTCCTGCAAATTGCCGCTGGGCTGTTGAATGGTTGCCATTAAGCATGGACGTCCGCAAGGCTGAACAGTCTGGGCAGCGGACTCAGCATTGGCTGCTGAATGGTTGCCATTAAGGCATTGTGTAATGAAGTAGGATAGTTCTGAGACGGTACAGGCGAGGGCGACTGGTTCTGTGACATTCTTGGTCAACGGCAACGGCGAAAGTCGGCGAGCAGTCAAGGTAGTAGACGGAAAGCAAAGGAAAGACCGGGTGATATTATAATTTAAAAAGAAGTCACGAGATTTTCCGCGCTCAAAGTTAACAAATTTAACAATGCTTAAAGCTGGTCCGGGGCAGCCTATAAATTTTGCGGACTTATTGGACGTTTAACAAGGGCCTTGTCTCAACGTGGGCCCCCCGTTCTTCGCCATCCCTCCGCCTTCCGTCAAACCTTTTGCATTTCTATCATTTATTTATATAGAATATGTCATATTGCGAAACAGAACGTGCAAACCTGACGTCCAGGGTGAGAATTTTTAAAAGGGTCGCTAACAAACGTCCACGTGGAGACTCCCTGATAGTCTTGTAACGCCCCTAACAAGCAAAAAGCTGCAATTATCAACTGCAACAAAGACCTGCCAGATAAGCAACCGCAAACAACCGCCAACCGCCCCATTATTGTGAGTGGATGTTGTCAACCCCCCCCCAGCCCCCCCCACTACCACCACCCTGTGGCAATACGTGGTGGCGTCTCCGCGACGTATATATTATGCATGTATGTATATAAGTTAAGGGGGGGATAAGGGCGGGGGAGGAGGACGAGATGGGGAACCCAGCCGAAGTCGCGGAAGTACATGCTCTCCCCCCCCCCCCCGCCCCGCGCGGGGTCCGGGGGGCCAACTGCGAACTCACCATCCCCTTTTTGAACTACAAACGCCTTATTAAAAGGGTTGGGCTGTTGCTAAATCTACAATTACTACCAACTACTATTACCAACTACCAACTAACAACACTGCGCATATCACTACTCACGAGTATGCGAATATACATTATTACCAACACCGCACACCAACACCAACATATCAATAACAATGAACCAATAATACGTAAGCCAGCAGCCTGCAAGAGCAGTCCAAGGATGGACTCACAAAGGTCATGAACGTCCACCGCCCTGCCGTACACATACTAAACAGCCGTTCCCAGTCCCACCTGGCCACCTCGCGGTGGGCACCAGTCGGGCCCCACACCCACACCCACACCCACACCCACACCCACACACGCCGGAATGGGCGGACGGGAAAGGAAGCGGAGGTGCGGAAGGGGGGGGAGGTGACTCCCCTGGAGGTTGGGGGGGGGGGGAGGGGGCCAAGAAGAGCCTCACTCGTACGGGGATATCAGGCACAGCCAACTCAGGATGTGGGGGGGAAAATGAGGCGATGGGGAGCTCCGCCGGTGCTGTACAACTCAACCCAAACCTCGAGATATAGGATCATAGACACAGAAACACACACGAGCTCCAAATAGTACATAATACACATACATACATGCAGACATGCAGACATACATGCAAATTTGCGAGCCATTACCGGCTTAAACAATTGATCGGACCACCAGCACATGTTCCGTCGTCTGTTTACCCCCCCCTCCCCCTACGTGCCGCACTGCAGCTCACCCTCACCCCCTGCAGCTCGCAGCCGGCTCCTCCTGCCCCACCTACCTACCTACCTACCTACCTCACGCACCACCACCACCGCCTCCACCTCCACCTTCCAGTACCGGGATTAGAGCTCCATCACCACAAGTGGTGGGGGAGGAGGAGCGCCCCCCCCTACCATTCCCTGCCATACACACGCCACCTCCACAGCCTCCCCCACCTCACTGATGCGCCTGCTTGGGGCGTAACGCCAGCACCCCCACCACTATCAGGGCACCTGCAGCCACACCAATACCCACACCCACACCGGACAGGCGGGGAGGGGGAGGGGGAGGGGGAGGGGGAGGGGGAGGGGTAGCGCCGCCACGGGGAAACAAAGACTCTCGCCCGCTGGCGGCGCCGCCGCCGCCGGTGGCAGATGTCGTACTGCTGACCACGAAGCTCTTCAGGTACTGCAACATATCCGTCCGGCAGTAGCCCGATCCAAGTCGACCCCAGCCGCTACCGCCGCGGGACGACATCAGCTGCCGCTGCGAGGGGGGCGCGGGGGGGTCGGCGGCGGGCGGCTGCTCCGCGACACGGGCCATAACTCGTCGTACAACACGCGCCACCACCGGGTCAACCTCGCGCTCGGAAACCGCCGTCGGCAGCGCCGCGAAGAGATTCGCATCGGTGGTTGCTGCGCTCGCCACCGCAGCCGCAAGAGCCCGCTGTACGACGCCATGTACGACAGCCGGGACATCCTCCTGAACGGCTGGCGCTGCAACCGTGGCGGACAACGCGGTTTCGGAGCCCCAACGTGTTGCCCCGCCCGGGGGTGGCGGGTGCAGCCTCCAGGACGACGAGTAGGAAACAGCCGCCGCCACCAGGACCTTGTCCAGCTGGTCGTACACGGCCGATAGGGATTGCCGTACAAATCTGCTCACACCCAGAAGGCGGCTGCTCGCGTCTGTGCACGCTGACGTCACCCCGACCGCCCGAGGTCCGGTCGCGTGCAGGTGCTGTTGCCGAGGAGCCGAGCTCTCCTTGGAAGCGGCGCTGGCGAGTACGGCCATAAAAACCCCGTGTACGATGTCATGTACGACGGCCGCGTTTTCTCTCGCGGCGGCGCTCGCTGAAACAGCAGCGAACACACGGCGTACGACGCAATGTACGACGTTTGCATCCCCTTCGGCGGTAGCGTTGGCGACGACAGCTGCGAATATACGGCGTACGACAATGTGTACGGCCTCCGTATCCTCTTCGGCAACGGCATGGGCCATCAGGGTAGCGCTGTCGTGCTGTACGGCAAAATGAGCTACAGCCTCCACAGCCTCTCCATCCCTAATGCGAGGTGGCGGTATTTCCTCTCGCACCCCCCCGGGCTGCCGCTGATGTGAAGTACCTCCTCCTCCTCCCCCCTCCCCCTCTAGCAGGGGGGTGTCCGGGGCCGCGACGGCAACGAGGCCCCCCGGGCCTGAACCCAACGACGGATCCCCGGACACCCTCCGCTCATCACTCGCAACAGCTACTGCTGCCGGTGCTGCTGCTACTGCCGCTGACAGCTGCCCACCCCTCTGTAGCAGCTGTAGCCTGCAGCCGCTGCCGCCTTCGGCAGCCCCCCCTTGCACCAGTTTCCCCCCACTCGCACCCCCCGCCTCCCCCACCTCCCCCGCCTCCTGGGCCGGCCCCACTCGCAACTCCCCCCTCACCCCCCCGCCTAGCAGCATCGCAACCACCTCAACCACATCGGAGCTCGCAACAGGTCCATTTCCCACTGCTGCTACTGCCACCACAGCCGTCGCCTTCCCCTCAGTCGCTCCTCCCCCGCCCCCGCCCCCTCCGAAACCAGCCTCCTCCTCGCCATCCGAGGGCGACAGCGGGGGGGTGCCCGGAGCGGCCTTCACCTCCGTCAGAGGCTCAGGGGTGGGCGGCTGTGGGGGGTGCTGAGTACGGCAGGGAGTCGGGGGCGAATCCTCACCCTCCGAAACCACGGTAGAGGTCGCGGTAGTGACGGCAGTGGCAGCTGGTAACTGTCCGTCGCCGCTACTGCCGCTTACCCGGGGGGAGAGGGAACCAGCAGCAGCAGCAGCTGCAGGCGGCGACGGAGGGGTTGAGGCGACCTGTGGGAGCGCTGCGGCTGCGGCGGCCTTGCTGGTGGCCTCAGCTGCGGCGGCGGCTTGCCGTAACATCCTGTCGTACGGCCCCAGCAGCTCCGCCAGCAGGCACATCAGGTCCTGGTCGCAGTCCTCGTATCGCCGAATGAAGTCCAGGTACCTGAGCCGGCGAGGGAGGCAGTAAGGCCTCAGCTTTAGCTAATTTTCACCTCACGCTAGCGCCCAACTGGCCGAGCAAAATGATTAAGTAGATATACATACAGGCAGGTGGCTGGCAGAGGTTAAGGCCTGACTTCTGCTCCCGGAGTGTCCGAGTTCAAATCCGCCTGCCGGCTCCTCGGGTGTTTGAGGAGTGTTGAAATGGGAGGTGGCCCCCCATCCTATGGACGATGTAGGACGTGGTGAAATCAACTTGCGAGCTGACCAGGAACTAAGTTGATGCGCCGTTGATCCGCTAGATTTGGTTGGATGCTGGTGGTGAGTTGCTGAACCCAACGAATACATTCTGAAGTCGGATGGGGTGAATGGATTAGGGTGCCCCTCTCACAGGGGAGAGCAGGGAACTGCCGCGGGAAAGGGGGCCGCTAGTGTAGCTTTACCACCCTGTAACAACATACATACAGGCGGCAGGCGGCTGGCAGAGGTTAAGGCCTGACTTCTGCTCCCAGTCGACCCAGTCGACCCGGGTTCAAATCCGCCTGCCGGCTCCTCGGGTGTTTGAGGAGTGATGAAATGGGAGGTGGCCCCCCATCATATGGACGGTGTAGGACGTGATAATATCAACTTGCGAGCTGACCAGGAACTAAGTTGAGGCGCCGTTGATCCGCTAGATTTGGTTGGATGCTGGTGGTGAGTTGCCGAACCCAACGAATACATTCCGAAGTCGGATGGGGTGACGGATTAGGGTGCCCCTCTAGCAGGGGAGAGCAGGGACTGCCCCGGGAAAGGGGGCCGCTGGCGAAGTTAACCACCCTGTAACAACATACATCCATACACACACACGTGCGCACGCACACCCCCAGGGCCGATGGTGAGGGGAATCACGTGCACGAGGCAAAGCACCCGGAAGAGGAGGGGGTGACTACGATATACATACGACATAATACGACATACACACAACCCCTTCACACTCGCCCACCTGTCCTCGCCACCCCGCAGTACGGCCTCCACGGCCCCGGGGGAGAGCAACAGCAGCCGGAGGAAGAGCTCCGCGCCACCCCGGGGCACGGACACCTCCTCCCCCTCCCCTTCGCAGGGGGGGAGGGAGGTGGGGGAGGGGAAACCCCCCGTCCCCATGTCGTACACCATCACCCGGATGCGCCTGCTACTGCCGCTACTGCTGCCGCTATTGCTGCCGCTATTGCTGCCGCTATTGGTGCTACTGCTATTGCCCTTGTGAAGCGGGGCCCCCGCACCACCATCATCACCGCCACAAGATGCGACGCAGCCGTCTGCTAAGCGGCCCTTCTGCAGCTGCTGCGGCTGGTGGTGGTGGTGGTGGTGGTGGTTTCCCCCCCGGCCCCGGCCCCGGGCCCCGGAGGGGACTGACAGCTCCAAGGAGGGGATGGGAGCCGGCTTGCCTGAGCAGGCGCATGACGAGGGGGGGTACAGGCGGGGTAAACAATACACATCACCCACAGGTACGAGTACGGCAGTACGGGAGGAGCCCAGCTCTGTCAAAACACCAATGGGCCCAACACAGCAAACGAGCCACTGTACGGCAAAACAAACTCGGGAGACATGGGCTCCTCTGAGCCTCCACCAACCGCACACATTAGATGCCGACCCGGCAGTACAAACCAACCGAATGTCGTACCGTTCCGTTGGAAGGTCCGCATGGCCTCCACAACTAACCGCCCGACCTCCTCCGGCGCCACCGGGGCGCTGTCGTAACCACCACCACCACCACCACCAGCAGGAGTCCGTGGTGGGTCCCCTCGTCCCCCTCCCCCTCCCACCGCCACCACTGGCAGCAGCGGCACCTCCCGACTGAGAGCTGACATCAGCACCAGGTCGGTGGCGGAGACGTCCCTGGAGCACAGGGGGGGAGGGCGGGGTGGTGGTGGGGGTGATGGCGGCGGAGGGTGGGGAGGGCGGAGGAGGCGGGAAGGGGGTGATGGCGGCGGAGGGTGGGGAGGGCGGAGGAGGCGGGAAGGGGGAATAGCGCTACCTCCCGTCGAAAGGACTCTATCGAAAGGGGGGGAGGGGGTGATACGGAGGGGAAAGGGATATG